ATCGAGCACATGGCTGGCTGCAAACCAGGAAGCTGGCACTCCTCAGACACCAAACCTGCCAGTGCCTTGTCTTAGACTTCCAGCCTCCAGAACAGTGAGAAGTAAATCCCTGTAGGCTATACGCCACCCAGTGTCTGGTGTTCTGTTATAGCATCCCAAAGGGGCTAGCACACCTTGATATGGTCAGTAACACTGCCATGATTCTGTTCAGCCAGTGGGAGGAGCAATCAAATAGCCAAAGGAAGCAGATCCCGTCCCTCTCTAGGAGGGAATGGCACTGCTAACTCCCTTGGATTTCAAACCACTGTCAGATACTTCTGCTTCAGGCTGCTCAGGATAGCTTCATCTCCTAGCTCTGCAGCCTTGCCAGAAGCTGAGTTTTTGGGTCACTGGGGAGTATGCTCATTTCCAAAGTGTCTCCCATGTAAGCAAGCCCAGGGAGCCATCACTCCTTTGGCAGATTTTCCCCTTTCCTGAAGTGACTTCTGGATTTGAACAGGTGTCATCCTCTGCTTCTCAACTAGCGTTTCTTCTTCCCAGCCCAGGTGAGCAATGGGTTGGGGGTTGATGGTAGAGCTCTGATCTTGGCTAGCAATTGATACCAGTATGTCCTTATGGTCTCTCCTTGCTTTGTGCACCCCCTTCAAGCTTCCTGACCCTGTCACACCTGTTAGGTAGTGTGGCCTGAATTTCTTGTTTATCCATTTTCTGCTTGATCAAGTGAACTTCATGAGGGCAGGAACCCACCTGTATGTCCTATAGAACCTTTGTATGACTCATTTCCAGGCTTTGGAAGTAGAGTATCTCATTTGACCTGCACCTTTCAGGATGGGATTGCACACATTTCTAAATCCATGAACCTTCTCAGCCTGCAGAGCTTGCCCACAGTTGGAAAACTGTACAGCAAAGCTGATGAACCCATCAGGAGAGAGCTATGTTCCTGGACTGCCTGGTACTGTGTGGCTTTCCATAAATGGATGGTACACTGCTTTGCACTTTACCTGGTCTGCCCACAAAAGTGAATTCAACTGTATATAGCTTAAAGAACATTTGTAAACACGGGAAGTAAATGAAACATTCACAGTGGGTAAATGAAAAAATTCAGTAAGTAAACACTTCATCTCTGCACAGTCCAGATATCTGTGCCATGACCTGTGTACTTCAGGTATATGTGTGCATGCGTACATATGTATGTTTAAGGAGGCTTCTGTACATTCATGCTTTTGACTACGTAACGTTACCTTATTTCCAGATTAGGTTGGAAATGCTATTATTATAAGGAGTGCAGGACTGTGTACCCAGAAATACTGTCTACACTGTGGAAAAGATTGAATCATATTTTTGCCCCTCTTTCTGTGAGTTAAGTGCATGAGAAATTATACTGAGGGACATATGTCAGGACTATGTAAATATATGTATTAGCACTGAGTAAGCAAAGGTTTGAGTTGTGTCACCAGAGGCAAAATTGAGTGCAAAGCTGAGTAATTACATGGTGAATTCAGCCCAACTGAACTGTCAATCTGCAAATAATAATAATAATAGTAATTAATAATAATTACTAGTAATTATTTGTAATTGCTACTAGTCGCTAGTAATTATTATTGTTGCTGTTTAAAAATTTGCCCACTTTTTGTGGCCTGCAGAGATTGCTTTTTCTCCTGCTTTGAATTATGTGGATAATTACTTCAACTTTCAATTTTATTTTGCCATAGTGCAGATATAGCTTAGGCAAGAAAAACCTCTAAACCGTGAACTTCCTTCATTATTGATTCCTCAACTATAAAATTAATGAACTGGATCCCGAAACTTTCTATGATTAACATTTACAAATATAAAAAGAGAAAGCTATTTATATGTATCTGTTTTAACCATCAGGAAAAAAAATTAAGAGCAGAATACCTCAAATCTGCCCATTTTAAGTGTGCATAACTGTTTAGATTCCCAATTCAATGCCCAGAGCCAGTCAGCTATTTCTTTGTCAGTTTCTGGTATGCACACAATATATCCAATATTTTGAAACCAGAATGTGACAGAGTTGTTTTTTCTTAATATACTACTTGCTCCTGTAGAGCATTATTTAACTTCAAAACCAAATCTAGTTTCTCTAATTGTCAATGGAAACAGTGGGTTACCATAGTTACAAAGCAAAAAGTGTTGATGAAAAGAAGAACAGAAAGACTAATTAAATTTTAAATGACAGATTCAAAGGCATTAAGAAACTGCCCCGATAGGAAAGTGGGGACTTACCAGGCTGACAATCACAGCAAACCTATTAGGATCGGGGTCACACAGTCTCCTGAGATTTTCTATCTACCGGTTGTACAGCGCTTCAGAATACTGATGCCAATGCTGTGTGGCACAGCCTGTGCTGAATGCCTGGTTTCCAACAGGATAGATGCATGGGGACACATTCTGACCACTCACAGAGCATGCTTTGTGTCCTGCCTCACTGGAGAACTTGATACACACCCTGGCACGTACAAATTACATACTGCAGTACACTGCTACTTTTCCCAAGAGGGAGAACCTAGTTGCTGCACTGCAGACCTATCTGTCCATGATCTCAGCGTGTTTCTCAAGGAAAGTAGTGTCCACCTACGTGGTCGAAGATGTAAGTAGTAGGTTCAGTAGCTTAGATGTCTAACATACTAAGATTTGTGTTTGCTTGAGGGAGGCATCCATACAAAATTTATTGAAATATCATACCAAAAGGACAGTCACATAAAATGATAAAAGAGGAGAAATCTAATGAACATACAGATGTGAAACAGAACTGAATATGGTCATGTCACTTATAAAAGGATGTATTAAGATTCAACTATCTATTTTCTAGAGTAGCAAGAAATACATAACCCAAGGAATATCACTACTCTATCAAGAGTCTCTGCATAACTCATAAGAAAAGAGGCAATCGTTCCTGGTTATGTGCTAAAAATTGTGTATTTGGGGCTTTTAAGAACCATAAAACTGATTTAAAGAATGGTTTCAAATGTTAAAAGAGAAATGCATAACAATTAAAGACATGCAATGAAACCGGTTTGTTTCTAACGGCCTCTTAGTAATTAAGAGTTTATGCTCGGCAAAGCCCCATAAAAACAGATTTAAGATTTGAGACAGTGTCCGTGAATTACTATAAACCCGCATACAAGTCTTCAAAGGGACAAGATTGTTACTCAAAAAAGGGAATATCTAAATCACTATAATATGACTTAAAATAATAGATGAATGCTTATTTTGGATTTAATTCTTCTTCACTAGGCTACCTACTTCTTCACGTTTAATGGTATATTATCTAGGTTCCAGGAATAGATATATCCAGTACACAGAGTAATGGCTACACATCCGGTGACATGTGGCCTTGCACGAACACAGAGAGAAACCAAGACATAGGCTGAAAGAGAAAGACAGAGAGACATGGAGAAAATTATTAATGAGAGCTTAGGGCTTACAACAGAGAAACATCAAAACAGCCTGATAATCATGTTAGTGGGGTCCAGGGCCTGGGGGTCTGCCAGTGGTGGGGGAGGTTAGGGTTGGAAAGGAAGCAGGTGGGGAAGAGATAAACCTCTCCTGAAGAATAAGGAAATCCCACCTAGTGTCACAACTGCTGGGCTTCTGGGCCACCATGTTCCATTCACTCTCTGCCTCCTCACCAGGCACAATCTGTCTACCCATAGAGGCGGACCTTTGTTCCTCCATGCTTGGTATGACGAGTATGCCATGCAAACACCCATGTTTCACATCACAAACATGCAGTCACATTCTTTGTAAGAAGAAAGCATATGTGGCAGCAGCCCTCTGTTTTCAATATTCCATGGTTTACCCAAATTGCTTACCCATCTAAATTTTTCAAAGGACATGATCGCTCTCTGAAAAAGACTCCTCACAACCTGTATGCATCCTTCTTAATGACGCTGCCTAATAAAATGCTTCTCATTTCCTTGCATAGTAAAAATAATCACAAATATTACAATAATAATCACAAATACTATAAAAATATTACAAAAATGATAGGTTTTTTAGAAAAGATTTAATTTGAAACCTTCATCAAAAGCTATGTGGACAAAAATGAAAAAAGAGGTATGAAATCTATTTTGCATTATGAACTTGTAAGCATTCTATTCAAACCAATTTTCTTTCAGTAAAAACTTAATGGCATCATCAAAGCCATCTTGATACAGTGATTCCATTTTCCTCTTGCTTGGTGGGAAAAGGGCTTGGTTAAGCCTCACCAAGTTTGCCACGGACAACTAGAACAGAAGAACAGATCGAAGCCATAGGACATTACAGTACAAGTAAATGTAACCTATGATTTCTTATCATCGACACAAAGAGTGATTTAAAAAATCAGTTTGAGAAAATCGAGCTTAAAATGTTTAACTTCACTCATAGACTAGAGGAAGGTTTCTCAGTTTTGGTACTATTGACATTTGGTGCCAGATACTCATTTGTTGTGGGGGTGGTCTTGTACACCACAGGACATTGACAGCATTCCTAGCCTCTACCCACTGGATGCCAGTAGCATGGATGCCAGTAGCACCTCTCAGATGTGACAACCACACGTCTCCTTTGTGTAACATCACCTCCTCTTGACAACCATTAGACTGGATATAAGGGAGTCAATATTTTATATAAGTTATTCAGTTGAGTCCCTAAGTTTATCTACAATATTTTGCCATACTTAATTATCACCATTTTTAAAAACAAATAATTGATGTGATTTAACTGCAAATGAAATCCTGCCAAAGTTTACTGTCCTGAAGAAGTGAAGAAACAGAGAACTTTTCCCAGACAATAAAGAGCGAAAGACTTGTATGTTCACAGGGTTTAGGTACCCTCAGGCCCATGTGTATGATACATGTTGTAAACTATTAAAAAAAAAACAAATGAATGAGAAGATGCAATTTCTACCTAAAATTATCAATGAGCTTCCAAAGTTTTGGAAACGTGTGGAAAATTTTAGGCAACTATCTTCAAATACAACTGAACATACAACTCACCATTATGTCCTGATTGGTGATATTAATGTAGAGATCCAGCTGCCCTTTATCCTGTGGGGAGATGTCCAGTCGTCCACTGAAGGGTGAGATGGTCACCGTCCGGCCTACAGGCAGGATGGGAAGGCTGTTTGTGAGGCCCCCATCTACCCACTTCTGTGGAAAGAAATACCCCTTGTCAGCACATGTCAATGACACACCTCCCATGTGAAGATGAGCACATATTTTTGAAGAGGACTTTCCTTTTTTTTTTTTTTTAAGATTTTGTATTAATTTATGAGAGACACACAGAGATAGGCAGAGGGAGAAGCAGGCTCCTCGCAGGGAGCCTAATGTGGGACTCGATCCCAGGATCCCGAGATCACGCCACCCAGGAGTCCCAAGAGGACTCTTTCCTTCTAATATAATCCATGCGTTAGAAATGCTCTCAATTACTATTGATGATGACCAACCAGATCAGTGATTTTTATACAAGTCTTTGTACACATATCATTTACCATATAATGAGAACCTCACAGAATCGGGAAGTCTCTCCAACTGTTTAAAAGCTTTAACTAGATTATTATACATAAAATGTACCTAAATTTTTATGACGACAGTGCATACACAGGACATGTAATAAGGTTGGGGTTCATTACTAAAACGGAGAGCCACATTTACCATTGATACTGAATAACCATCTACCATAAGAGGACATTCCATTTTTTTTTTACAAGAACTAAAAATTGTCATTTTCTGTAGCAAAGTTAAAAGTAAACTGAACAACCAGAAATCCTATTTCCAAAGTGGCATCTGAGTTTAAGACAGAAGGTTTTAAAGCCATTTTAAAGAATGGAAGTACTATATAAAAACAAACAAAACTCCACTGAACTCAGAAGAGGTTCTGTGTTTTCAGACCCATACTCAAAGGAGACAGATGGACAAAGCAGGTAAGAGAAGTTTGCAGTCGCTTCTGCACAATTGTGTGCTAAAAAAGGACAACTAAATAAACATGAAGATAATGTTCCTTATGCTATCCATTTCGAAGCAAAAGAGTCTCAAGCCATCTTTGAACCGACATATTGAGATAATCAGCTCTAACAATAAACACACAGACACACGCAAAACTGAGGTACAGATTCTCTAAGTAGTATCTGAGATATCTTCCCGTTGACAGGGAAAAAACAAAGTCTGATAATGGTTGAGCACCCCTCACAAAAGAATCTTTAGTGCTGTACGCTAAGTTTCCCCTGAACGTTGGGAATGCCATATAGAAGAACCAAAGCAGTACTATTCAGCAGAGGCAGAGGGCAGAGGGAGAAACAGGAAATGCCCTGAACTAGGTTGAAACAGACATTCATTTTGTTCTAAGGTGTCTTTTTTTTTTAATGTCTTTTTAACTCATTTTTATTGCTAAAACTGGTGACTGAATGTTTAGTATTGCAGTGTTTACAATGGCTTTGGTCAGCCACTAACTCCCTGCAAAGGGAGTAAGAGTAAATACATGAAAAGTGAAAGTGTGTGAAAAGTTGAGAGGATTGCATTCGGGTTTGGACAAAATAGAAGTAGAGTAGATTATAATGAAACTGGTCTGAATAGTTTACATATTGTCATTCTTTTTAAAGGAATGAGTATAATCATGTAATTACATTATATGTATTATATAGACACAGAGTCACATGTATTTGTGTGTGTTTAACACACCCATGTTCATATATGTTTGTGTGTATGTGTGTGTGTATATATATGTGTGTATATATATGTATACTTATAAAAACAGAGCTTAAAATAAGGGAGACAGGGAGAAGGCCCCAAAATATCTTGTTCCATGCCTTTTTGTCCCAGACCTTCTTTTTGTTTTGTTTTGTTTTTCTGATTGCTTTGGACATGGATACAGACTTCTGGAATGTGTTAATACCCGGAGAAGAAAAAAAACAAAACCTTCCGAAATTATTGTTCATATTCTCAGTAGGTTGGATCACCAATGATGTAAAAATATGTGTAGTTTTCATCAAGGGAAATTAAAAATATGTACCGTGTGTCGTATGAGCTCATCTGACTTTGTCGAGTTAAGGGAAAGGAGGGCAATCTGGCTCATCACACTGCAGTGTTCTAATTTACCACAGGGTTAATGACTGCTGTTTCCGGGAACCGAAAATTCCTTCTCCAAATTTTCTTCATTCTTGTTAGCACATTCTGATTGGATAAATGACTAAGGAAAACATACAGCTTATCAGATGACTTGATTAAATTTGCACCGTTACTGGCTCCTCTATAACTGTAACCCTACCCCTCAGATACTCTACGTGCAATGCATCTGTCTCCTGATTTATGCTCTGGGGAGCTGTACCATTCCCAAAAACCACACATGCATTCAGGCATGCTGATTCTAGCAAAATCTCTAGAAACAACAGTAACAGCAGTAAACATTCCTCAACCCCAAATTAAAAGTGGAAATATTTTATATGTCACATGCTCTGGTTTAAATGTCTGCATTTAAACTACTGCTGTCTATGAATTCGCTGGCTGTTTGCTACAGATTCCTGCAAGTCATCCCTTCTTTCCCACCCCGTGGACAGCATTCTTCTGTAAGCTGGTAACTACCACCATGGGCATGTATGATTCTGAATCTTCTGCAGGGAGAAAACTAAACTGTGCTGGTTCTTCCCATGATGGTTTTGTATCACTTCTAAAGGCAACTGTCACACCCAAACAGGTCAGGTTATGCAAATGTCAGGACTTGTAAATTTTGCCTTACACACTGATATACTCTGGGAACATATGAAGAATTTGCCCCAGGGTCTATGAATTCAAGCAATTCCTCTATTAAGGAGAAATCTAAGTAAGAAAGTGGGATACCTAGGTGGCTCAGTCAGTTAAGTGTTTGCCTTCGGCTCAGGTCATGATCCCAGGGTCCTGGGATTGAGCCCTATGTCGGGCTCCCTGCTTAGTGGGGAGCCTGCGTCTTCCTCTCCCTCTGCAGTTCCCCATGCTTGTGCTCTCTCTCGCTCTCTAATGAAAAAGTTAAAAATCTTAAAAAAAAAAAAAAAAAGAAAGAAAAGAAAAGAAAACCTAAGGAAGTAATCTCTACTGTAAGGGCCTATTAATTCTTTCTGCAAGTACCTCAGAGCATCCAATGTGAAGCTGGATACATGCTAGATACTGAGATGTGTATATTTATGAGAAAAACTTGATGCAGGGCTGATCTGTCTTTGGGTGTTTTGTTCAAAAAGCAAGTGAATACAAAATACTTTGCTGGAAGAATGAATGAGATGTTGATGTCTATAATTATTGTAAGTACCAGGACACAGTGCCTAATGGTTTAAAAACGACCTGTCCCGTATTACTCAATCTTTCCGAGAATGCTGTCAGATAGGAAGGTCATGCTAGTATACTCAGTTTTCTCATTTTACAGAAAAGAAAACCGAGGCTTGCAGTTACTCATTCTAGCTTACAGGTTGGTAAACCGCGGCCCACCACCTGCTTTTGTAAATGAAGTTTTACTGGCATATAGCTGTGCCCTTTTGTTTACATATTGCTGTGCTGCATTTCCAGTATGACAGCAAACTTGAGTAGATGTGTCAAGAGAGACTGTATGTCCTACAATGCCAGAAGTATTTACTACTGGATGCTTTATTTTATTTATTATTATTTTTTTTCTACTGGATACTTTAAAGAAAATACCCCCAAACCCTGCTGCAGAGTATGCAGTCTTCTTACTTGCACTTTTCCTTTTCACACAGTGTAAAACAGCCATGTACCTAGGGTACATGTAATTGCTTTCTGCACAGTTGGGGAGGTGGGGCCAGGAGCAGTAAATATGGCCTGAAGAACTGCTTTGTATTTGCAAACATGTCTTGTATGATACAGAGGAAAAAATACTTATGTCCAACAGAACCTTCTTGGTTCTTGATTCTGAAAATAGAGGGGAGGGATGGTGAGAGGGACAGAAAAACAAGGAGATACCCACTCTCCACAACAGAAGTCAGAATTTACCATTGGAAGTTAAGAAAGACAGGAGGTGGGGAGAGATAGAGGAGCTTTTGTTAATTAAAGGGAGACAGCTAAAATAAAGTTTAAGAAGAGGGTGAAAAACCCTGCAACATTTTACTTCTATTAAAGATTATTGGTACATTGTCTTAATTTTTGAATTTCTGATTTTTCATTAAAAAGGGATGACTAGATACTAACTTTGAGAAAATGCTGGCATCTTATATCAAAAATATTCCCTGGAAAACTGTTTTTTTCAAACAGACAATGCAAAACAATTTAGATTGTTGCTGAAAAATAAGATCTTCTCTTTCAGGATAAATGTGAATTGATAAACAGATTTCTATCCAGCCAAATCTAGCTGGTCACCAGGCCAGGTCACTGCTCTGATGGGACTGAGCCACATATCCATGTGAAATGCCTAAATCATGAAGAAATAGAAGTCTAAGATCTGTAGTGATAATTTTATACAAATGCTTAGTAACAGAGTATTCCACAATTCTCTTTCCCACAAATATGTCAATAATGAAAGAAATAATAATCTATAATCCATGCAAAATTCTCAGTAGACTAGAGCAGGTCAATGTTAAATATTCTTTATATAACAGTCAAAATATTACCTGAATTCTAATTCAGACAAAAAAAAAAAAAGACACACACAAAACACAAAACCCCACAGCTTTTCTTGGGATCTGTATATATCAGTTCTAGAGATGATCTTATTCTGTTATTCTGACATTTTAGTCACTTGCCAATGATAATGCTATCTCTTAAAAAAACAAAAACTTGTTAGTTAAAACTTCCTCTTGAAAATATCATTTTTGTTCCAAATTGATGGCAAGAACTTGTGCAAACGTGCCCTGATAGTACGCATGTTCAGAGGCCATATATACTGATAGAAAATTCATTAGTAAAATTACAGGTCTGACCTTTAATATGCTTGCATCCTTTCATTCATGTATTCAGCTGTTAATAACTATCTCCCATAAACAGGATACTAAAGATGATCTTATAAGATAAAGCCAATAAAAGCTACAAGAACTCTAAAAAAAATTAGGTTAAATGAAATAGATGTCATACCACTTCCAACAATTGGCAGACAGGTTAGGTAGGAAATATACTGTCTGTGTCTTCAGTTAATCTGCGTTACGAAAGTTTGATATTTTTACATGATTGATAATTGATTTTAAAAATATCAGGTCCACAAATACATGTTAATAAAATCCAGTATGTTCAATACAGGTTCTACCAGATGTAGAAACAAGGAGGTCAGGGATCCCTGGGTGGCGCAGCGGTTTGGCGCCTGCCTTTGGTCCAGGGCGCGATCCTGGAGACCCGGGATCGAATCCCACATCGGGCTCCCGGTGCATGGAGCCTGCTTCTCCCTCTGCCTATGTCTCTGCCTCTCTCTCTCTCTCTGTGTGTGTGTGACTATCATAAATAAAAAATTAATAATAATAAAATAATAAAATAAATTTAAAAAAATAAAAAAAATAAAAGAAACAAGGAGGTCTGTGCATTGCACGGTAGTGACAGGAGCAAGGTGTACTCGTGGCCCTCCTTGGCACTGCCACACGGGCACTGCTCTGCCTCCCACGGATCTACGGCCCAAATACAAGTAAACCTGATTTCCCATTGCCCCCACTGCTAGTGCCACCTCTATCACTTTAGAGAAACCACCACAGCAAACCAACCAAGTCAAGACCCAAGTTCCATGAAAAGATTAGAACTTAAAACAGAAGAGGTGTTTTCAGATTGATGGAAATTTTTCTGTGATTTCAATCCTCGGAGAAGCTCACACCCACAGCAAAACACTGTGTTTAAAGCAGAGTTAGCATTTCCCTGAAAATGGAATGATTCTGGAAAATAACTTGGCCTAGAAATCCTATAAAACTGTGGGAGGCTCTCAGGCTGATGGAGAGTCCGTGATAAGCACAGAACGACACTGGCGTGTGGTCAGCTGTCTGCATAAATGGACGAGGTCTCCCAAGGGCTCTGTCTGTCATTGTGTGCATGGGGTCTCCTCTTTGTGGACCTCAGTAAACTGCCAAGGAAAACTAAATGCTTTCAAAGAGGCATTAAAATGAAGTAGTCATGTGTCTACTGTGCACAGACACAGGTACTCAGCAAGACTGAGTCCTCCTGCTCAAGGTCAAGGTCAAGGTGATGGTCCCCATCTTCTCACAGCTCTGGGGCTGCATTTCCTGCTGTTAGGCTGTGGCTCTGCTTCCACATTCCCATATAATGGGGAATTCAGCTGAGAACATCTGACCCTTTTAACCATTCTTAGCTGTCAGGGCACAGATCCAAGAAGTGGGAATGGGGATGGGGAGAAATAAGTTAGGGGAGATTTTTTTTTTTTTTTTTAATAAAAGGAACGCACTAAGCAAAGTGGAACAAGAGGCGCAGAAGAGACACAAACACTGGAGGTCATCCTGGAGAAGCTGCCCCCTTACTAGCTAGGTGGCCTCAGTGAAGTCAATGAACATCTCTGCATCCAAATATCCTCATCTGTAAAACACCAGGTAGGAATCTCCGCAACAGATGAGAGCATTCTGTTGTAGGTGACAGAAAACGATCACAGCACTGGTTTTAATTTCTTTTCTGGGAGAAGGAAAATGCAGAGTGGAGTGGTAAGGGGAGGGGGACCTCCTCAAATCATTCAGGGTCAGCTCATTCTGTGTCCAACCCCAGGTTGTGATTTGTGACCTCATGATCCACAACACCTGCTGCAGTTCCAGTCATCACATCTAAGCTCTGGGCAGCAGGAAATAATGAAAGGTAAGTCCCACTGTAATTCAGTTTGTATCTCAGGGGTCAGCACTTAAATGTGTAGCCATACCTACCTACAAGGGAAGTCAGGAAATGTGGCCTGCACACACTGCACCGGGTCCAGCTAACAACTCTAACTCTGTTGTAAGGAAGCAAAGAAAGGTTCATGGGGCAAGAAAACTAGAAGCCTCTGCCACCGGCACATTTTTCTACTGTTACTAATGTTTCTACAGGAAAGTGTTTAGCACAGTCTTAGATTGGCGTGGGCTCTGGGGCTCAGCTCTGTTGTCACCTTGATTCCAACCTCTCTGAAGCTCCCACCTCCTTACTGTCACACGCTGTATCTACATCCTACCTGCTACCTCTTAATCATTGACCACACTGGCAACTCTGGTGACTCTGGATTCCCAACGTCCCCTTTCATAATATATAATCTCTAAAGCATCTTACCATTTTTTCCCATTTAGCCATTTCTATCACTGTATATTATAAACTCAAGCTTTGAAGTAAAATCATTACATTTCAGATCATTATAAAGTTAAAGTTCCTAAGAGTTCATTTCGATAGCACCTTTATTCAAGATTTACACCTAAAAATAAATATTAACTTTTACTCCTACAGTAAGAGGGAAAGGTTTTAAATTACTTTAAAATATTTTATTTTTAAAGATTTTATTTATTTATTCATGAGAGACACACAAAGAGAGGCAGAGACACAAGCAGAGTGAGAAGCAGGCTGCCTGCAGAGAGCCTGATGCAGGACTCAATCTCCGGACCCTAGGATCATGACCTGAGCCCGGGGCAGATGCTCAACCACGGAACCACCCAGGTGCCCCTCAAATAAAATTTTAGATGACAACACAGCTCACACTTTCTTGGGGGCTAAATACCTGCTAGTTCTGAAATACAGTATCAACAATAGGAAAAAAAATGCGGGGATCCCTGGGTGGCTCAGCAGTTTAGTGCCTGCCTTCAGCCCAGTGCGTGATCCTGGAGTCCCAGGATCGAGTCCCATGTCGGGCTCCCTGCACGGAGCCTGCTTCTCCCTCTGCCCGTGTCTCTACCCCTCTCTCTCTCTCTGTCTCTCATGAATAAATAAATAAAATCTTTAAAAAAAATGCTTTCCATGAGCTAACGTTTAAATAATTTTATGTTGCTCTTAAAAAAGTGTGTATTTTGTTTCTAACCAGTCAGAAAGATAGCCTTCTGTATGTACTGTATGCATATGGCTAATAAATAGAGTTCATGTCAGAACAGCTGTCACTCTTGGGATCTGCATCTTGGTATCTACATGGCTTTTCCACGTATGTGACCTCTCTGTCCCTTGTTCTCCTTGTCTGTCCCTTTAGGCAGCCATCTGGGGGCCAACCAGTCTGGACCCAGAATTATACAGGAAGCCCAGCAAACGACTGCAAAGGCCAGGAGAGATCAAAGAAATAAAACTGTGAGGATTTGCAAGATCAGAACTCAGACAGGTTCCCAATCATATAAGGTAAGAGATTTGTAAAAATCAGTTCCCTCTGTTCAGGTACCATGTTGGGCCCTCACGGTGAGTGAATGAATCAATGAATGAATAACAGATATTAAACATTTTTCACGTACTTATCAAAGGCTAAATACATACTATGTATATATGAAATAAGTAAAACGAATCACATCTCTTCATCCAGGAGTATGTGCTTGATCTTGGGTGTTAAATAGATGCTGTGTTTGACTCTACAGTATGCATCTTCAGTATGTGTTAAACAGATGCTGTATTTGATCATAAATACAGATTACTGTTATGTGTTAAGTAGACAGCATATTTGATTATAAAATGCATATTTCTGCTATATGTCAAATAGATGCTATATTTGATTACAAATACATATCTCTGGTATGTGTTAAGTAGATACTGTATTTGATTATAAAATGTATACCTCTAGTATGTCTTAAGCTGTTAGTGTATTTGATTATAAAATCTGTATCTCTGATATGTGTTAAATAGTGTATTTGATGATAAGATGTATTTATTCGGTATGTGTTAAAGGTAGCCTATTTGATTATAAAATGCGTATCTCTGGTGCGTGTTAAATAGATACCATATTCGATTATAAAGTGTGTATCTCTGTGCAGGAGCCGGAGAGCATAGGATGATGAACGTTTAATGCAACCACGGTAAAGAACGCAGAAAGGAGCTGGCTAAAATACGTTCCCATAGGGGTGCCTGGGTGGCTTAGATGGTTGAGTGTCTGACTCTTGATTTTCGCTTGGGTCATGAGCCCGGGGTCCTGGGGGATTAAGCCCTGGATCAAGCTCTCTGCTCAGCAGGGAGTCTGCTTCTCCTTCTGCCCTTCAGACCCCCACTCATGTACACCCATATGTGCTAATAAATAAAATTCTTTTTTAAAAAAATACCTTCCCATAGTGCTGACTGGGAGCAGACTGCAGGTGGGTGGTCACCTCTAAGTTTGTCTCCTAGAGCCTGCCTCCTGCCTTGAGTGTCAGCCCCAAGTGAAGGGAGCTCTCCTGGAATGCAGACTGTGTGACAAACCGGTAAGTGAAGGGCCTGAGAGAAGAAGGGCTCGCTGCCTGGGAAGGGACTCCTGTATCGGGGATAGAGGGAGGAGCGCCAGCTTTGGTTGGTCAGGGCCAGGTGTGTGGGCGCCTTGATGCCTTTTCCCACCTGAAAACACACTTCTGCTTAATAAAAGGAGCTGCAGGGGACCCCTGGGTGGCTCAGCGGTTTAGCGCCTGCCTTTGGCCCAGGATGTGATCCTGGAGACCCGGGATTGAGTCCCACGTCAGGCTCCCTGTGTGGAGCCTGCTTCTTCCTCTGCCTGTGTCTCTGCCTCTCTCTCTCTCTCTCTCTCTCTCTCTCTCTCTCTCTCTCTCTCTGTGTGTGTCTCTCATGAGTAAATAAAATCTTTAAAAAAATAAAAATAAAAGGAGCTGCAAAGAGGACTTTATTATTTTTAAGTCTTTAACTTTTTTTTTAACAAAATGAAGTTTTTATTTTTATGTTTTTTAGATTTTTATTTATTTATTCATGAGACACACAGACAGGCAGAGACATAGGCAGAGGGAAAAACAGGCTCCCTGTAGGGAGCCTGGAGTGGGACTCGATTCCAGGACCCCAGGATCATGCCCTGAGCCGAAGACAGACGCTCAACCACTGAGCCACCCAGGTGCTCCTGGATGAAGTTTTAAAAAAAGGAGTATCCCATTAATTCTGAATCTCAAGATCTTGATAATAAGACACCAAGGCCTCTGTACTTGGTTTTGTTTTGTTTTGTTTCTGTTACTAACAAAACTATGGGAAAAAATCATATAAACTGCTTTGGAAACACTAGAATAATTACAAAACTGGATCCTTCAAAGGAAACATATTAATACGGGAATTCCTAATAATTCATCAGTTAAGAGAAAGTTACCTGCCCTTGGTATTCCACTGGTTTCAGCCCTGCATAAATGGGCACGAAGCTGCTGGCCAAGAGAACCTAGATGAACACAATAAAGAAACAGCTCATAAACATAGGCATTAGCACATGTTCCACAAAATTAATTTATCTACTATAAAAAGTTTTCAAAAACTAACAATGGTTAGTATAAAAAATTAAGTCAGTCCTGTATAGCTCAAGTGCACACAGGATCCAGTTAAATAGAAGATAATACTTTTAATATCTGAAAAGACCCTAAAGAGGTATGAACAATTCAATATTCTGTGACTTAGCTGACTTTACTTCAGTAAAATTGGGATTTTAATTGTAGACAGCCAAGTCATTACATTAAAACTCCAGGTAAGTCTAAATTCTTGAGTATGTACTCATAAATTATTTACAATACTCTATCATATACTGTAAAAATCATTCTACAGTTGCATCCTTGTGGCGCCTGGCTGGCTCAGAATGTAGAGCCTGTGACTTTTATCTTTTTCTTTTTTAGACTTTATTCATTTACTTGTCAGAGAGCGAGCGAGCATGCACAAACAGGGGAGTGGCAGGCAGAGGGAGAAGGAGAAACAGACTCCCCACTGAGCAGAGAGCCCATTGGTGTGGGACTTGATCCCAGGACCCTGAGATCATGACCTGAGCTGAAGGCAGGCGCTTAACCCACTGAGCGACCCAGGTGTCCTGAGCCTGTGACTCTTGACTTTGGGGTCATGAATCTGAGCCCCATGTTGGTTGTGGAGTTTTCTTTAAAAAAGTAAAAATAGGGATCCCTGGGTGGCGCAGCGGTTTGGCGCCTGCCTTTGGCCCAGGGCACGATCCTGGAGACCCGGGATCGAATCCCACGTCGGGCTTCCGGTGCATGGAGCCTGCTTCTCCCTCTGCCTATGTCTCTGCCTCTCTCTCTCTCTGTGACTATCATAACTAAATAAAAAAAAAAAATTAAAAAAAAAAAGTAAAAATAAAGTTGTACTATTATCTTTCAGGGGAGCACACCCTTCTGGTTATTACAGGGGACACTAGCCTGTAGCTTAGAGGTGTTCTGATTTGTCACCAGGATGTTGTTAAGCAGAGCAACACATTTCCTGTGCTAGCAACATGGTCTGGATATATAATGAGACAGTGGCAGGTAGGGACACCAATTATCCTTTATCTTCCTTTGAAAAAGGCAAAAAAGACTGTCATTTAAAATATTGCCATTTCTTCCAACAGAAGAAGCTGGGCATTGGGAACTTTTCTGACATATACATGTTTTATTTTCGAGTATAGTTTCCAAATCACTACTGTTCTATTTGGAAAGACACAGCAGTAGATGCTGAATATTTAAGCTATCATCTTTCAACTAGTAAGCGAAGATGCTACAGTTATTTGTTGTGAAACATTTCATGAGACTCCATGGGGGGGACCATATATTATTCAGAAATGGATTATGACCCCAAAACTGATTTGTAAATCACCTATGTAGAATTATTTAGAACTCAGAGGGCATTTCCCCCAAAAGAAACAATAAACAATAATATAGGTACGTTTTCTGAGGTGATGGAGTCCCACATTGGGAGTCTGCTTCTCCCTCTCCCTCTGCCCTTCCCCACTGCTCATGCTCTTTCTCTCCTCTCTAATAAATTTTTTAATTTTTTTTTATTTATTTATGATAGTCACACACACACACAGAGAGAGAGAGAGAGAGAGAGAGAGAGGCAGAGACACAGGCAGAGACACAGGCAGAGGGAGAAGCAGGCTCCATGCACCGGGAACCCGACGTGGGATTCGATCCCGGGTCTCCAGGATTGTGCCCCGGGCCAAAGGCAGGCGCCAAACCGCTGCGCCACCCAGGGATCCCTCCTCTCTAATACATAAATAAAATCTTAAAAAAAGAAAAACCTTCAAGATATGGATAGCAGGGCATCAAACCAAAGTACAATGGCAATCTTGCATGAGATTTTGTCAACCATCTACAAAGAAGAGCGAGTGTAGACAGGCCTATACTCAGGCATTACTTTTGAAACGTGCAGCTTGATAGAATAGTGTGCCGTGACATTAGGCACACCCAGTGCACAAAGTGGCAAAATAGGAGTGACATTATTTCACACGCTAGTCGGGGACTACAGGATAGAAACCCACCCTTTAGGACCCAATACATCAGCAGTTGGGTGTTTTTCAGAGAAAGGCTGTTTCATTCCCCCTAACTAAATTTGGCTCTGTCATCAATTGGCTACTCCCTTAAAAAAAAAAATTACAGACTCTAGGTATGTTTTGCAGGCACACATTTAATGTGTGTGCACACAATAAATGTGGCTATTTAATGCAGTTATTTGGCAAAATGCAACATGATACTGTAGCAATAACTGGAGCTCTTTGTGGATGGCACACATATTGTGAGATTGCAGTACTTAATGCTCTTTAAAGAAGCAAAGACACTTTGTAACTATAACGATTTATTTCATTATGCTGCACAATTATATCTGCCCTGCAAACAAACAAAAAAAAACCCAAAAGCCAAACAAACAAACAAAAAAAACCCACCACCGAACAGACCACTTCCATAAGAATCGGAATTATGTGGGGTTTTCTTCCCCCGTGTCAGAGTACAATGTGAAGTTCACGAGTTAATGCTTGGAACTCTTGCAGTGTTTGGTTGAAAAATGCTATTCAATTACCTTCCTACAGATAAGAACAGTACAAATCCTCCTAACTGATTCGAAGAGCGCATTGGACGGGAAAATACCTGTCACTCTTCCAAATCAATGTATTTATCCTGTCATACTGCACTTTTTCCCTTTATATGCACTGCTGATTTGTATATCAACCTACGTTTAGTGGGGAAAATTAGCTTCCACGGATGAGAATAAGTGGCTTTTCTTAGTCTGCCTGTGGCCATTTTATTGCCAGCAGAGAGGATTTTCTAAGGCAAGAGACCAACACTGGCAGACTCCGGCCACTTGAGAAGATAGTAAGTGTGAACGTGTCCTTCCACGCTGTCTCATTGTCTTCCCACTGAGATTCTTCTCACCAGTAAGTCTCAATATATGTAGAACAGGGGTTCTCAAAAGGAGAGGGGAAGGGGTGTCTTTGTTTCCTGGGGACACTGAGTGATGTCTGGAGACTGTTGTGTGTCTCAAGTGTGTCTCTGTGTGTGTGTGTGGGGGGGGGATGAATACAACTGGCATCTGGTGGGTAGAGTCGAGGGATCCCTCTAAACATCCTATAGTGCACCTCAGAGAAGGACCAGACCCCAATATCAGTGACACCATGGTTGGCAACACTGATGCAGAAATCAGGGTCTTGCCATTCATGGCCTGTCACAGAGCCCAGCACTTTAAGCAATGAATGTAGGTTTAAACATTGATCTGTTTTTGTCTCGTTTTTACTAAATATACAATGATAAAAATAAAAGTTAGTTACTTCCTGCAGCAATTGTACAAAACATTGCCAAGTGCATATTCAATCCACGTTCTGACTAGCTCTTTTCATTTCACATTTTATAGAAAAGGGGTGTTTAGAAAATTATGTGGCCCGGCTTCCTTAGAGAATAAATTCCCAACAAGTTTCATTTATGCCTAAAGTTTGCTGTGGAGTTTAATGAGGATCTGGCTGTTTATTCAGAACCTGCTGGTGTAGTTGAAATTCAAAGACAGATTCAAATTTATCTTCCCCAGTCTTCCCAAGATAATGACCAATCTTAAATTCAGGCCTTATTTCACCTTCAGAAGGCTAAATGTGAGAAGATCTTGCTATAAGAGCATTCTTGCTATGTGTGCAGAAATATAGGACACCGTAGCAACGGAGACTGGCTGGCTCTTCCCAAGAGGGACACGGGAAACAGCCCTCCTGGGAATACATATTCACGAGCATTCCACTGGGTCAAAAGACCAGCTCAGACCACACATGTCCATCAGTTTTAAAGAAGAAGAATTCAATGACTGGTACTAATTCAGACAAGTGGCAGACACTACCACTCCATGGCACAGTTACTTTCAAAACCATTTCTGCTCAGCTGTGGAAGTGACATAGGGCTTCCTTATAAACAAAGAATTTACCTCCCCCTAATCACAGTTTGCTGAAGGCTGATATTAAAATGTGCTTGGATTTCCTGATTGTGTGTTTCCTTGTGAAGAAAACTAGCAAAAAAAAAAAAAAAAAAAAAAAAAAAAAAAAAAAAACAACTAGCCCAGATTTCGGTGGATACTGTGTAAAGGAGCTCCCAAGTGAAGGAGTTGCTACAGACCATAGCACACATGAGAGAGAGTCAACAAAAGAGATGGTAAGCTCTCAGGAGGACCTGAGGAAGCACTTCCACACACATTATATACCTGATCTCTGGAGTAATTTGTGGGGTAGGTGGGAAAGTGTGGATGCCAACTTGCAAAGAAACCAAGGCACTGAGAAGTTGTGCCAACCATCCCATCCACACTCCACTGCAGACAAGCACCAGGCTCTTCCATTACCAAAGTACCATCTGCCTTTGCATAAAACAATCTCCATTTGGTGTTGAAAGTAACCAACCCACAGGCACAAATGATCACTGGATTTCATCCTCCAAGGGAACATTTTCATCCACCCCTCAACTCACCCCACAAAAGAGTGTGGCATCCAAAATGAAATCTCTCCGGTTGATGAGAACCAAAAGTGAGGCATCTGGACGAGGGGGCCTCTTGGGCTCTGGTTTAACTACATAAAGGGATCTTCCCTCTGGGGGGTCATGTCCTACTGGTATGGTACCATATATCACATGTGTCTCCCTGTCTTGGCCTCTGTCGTGCCTGGGAAGGAGGGGTGTACACCACACAAGTAAAGTCTGGGCAAAATAATATCTGAAGGCCACATGTCTGTCCTGTAGTGGCATACAGGGAATGGGGGTCGGGGGAAGCCACCAACAGCAACCCTGAGGATCAGGCTGCTATAACCAAATACTATAAACTGGGTGACTTATAAGCAACAGATATTTATCACAATTCTGGGGACTGCAAATGCGTGAACATGGCATAGGCAGATCTGGTGTCTGGTGAGAGCCCACTTCCTGATTCATGGACAGCCATCTTCTCACTGTGTCC